ACAAGTTATCTTTCAGTGCCGCGAAACTTCGATCCTGAGCTACATCCATTGGAGACTACTCGCGAATATGTGCGGGCATTGAATGCCACCAAATTGGAGCGTGTTTTCGCCAAACCATTTGTTGGTAATTTAAGCGGGCATCGGGATGGTGTTGCATGCTTTGCAAAGCACCCTAAACAACTCTCAGTCCTTGCTACTGGCGCCTACGATGGCGAAATTAGAATTTGGGATTTAGCGAATCGTACAAGTGTGCGAGATTTCGTTGCCCACAATGGTTTTGTTCGAGGTATTGTGTACACTGTTCACGGAGATCGTTTTTTCACAGTGGGTGATGATAAAACCATTAAAGTATGGAAAGCCAACCCCCCAGATGTGGGTGAAGACGAAGAACCGGTTAATACGATTTTGTCACGTACAATTCTCACAGGAATATCACATCATAGAAGTGATCAAACTTACGCCACCTGTGGAGAAGTTTGTGCAATTTGGGATGAAAATCGAAATGATCCGTTAAAAACGCTTCAGTGGGGTGTAGACACATTGCATGCAGTCGCTTTTAACCAGGTTGAGACGTCTCTAATTTCGTGTTGTGCCAGCGATAGAAGCATAATATTGTATGACCAGCGTGAATCTCAGCCACTGAGGAAAATAGTTTTGACTATGAAAAGTAATAAGCTTGCCTGGAATCCAATGGAAGCTTTTAATTTCACAGTCGCAAATGAGGATTGCAAGTAAGTAAAACAATTTTAAATATAATATATTATTAATGCACATATTTTACGCGACCTTCTTATGAAAACAAATAAATGTTTGCTGGTTCGCAAGAGCAGGTAAGGCTAACTTTACTATAGTGTGCCATTGAGTTATTTTATTAACTGTAAGTATAATGACTGCATAATTATCCTTGCACATTCAGTTGGCAAGAGTGTTTAAACCAGGGATGGAAAATAATCATTATTTTTTAAATTTTATACCAAAAAAATCAACAAGTTGTAATCGTCGTAAATCAATTTTAACTACCCTGCAAACCAAAGTTCCCGAAATCTTAAGGAAATTGTTAGGAGTATCTCATTTCTGTAACGATTTTTTTACGAATTTTTAAAGAAAATTATATGAAGTGGTTGACACGAACTCGTAAAGAAATTTCTGTACGAAAAATAAAGAAAATTCTGGAAAAATTCTGAAAGATATTCTTCACATAGCAGCATTATTTTCGTTGCTTCACAGATTTTCTTCCGAAATTTCGTAAAAGAATGGAAGTGTGCGTATTAACCCTGCAAACCATTTTTTCAGAGTATTCTGAATCGTAAAGAATTTTTAAAGAATTCGGAAAGATCCCATCCGATTTTTTGCAGAATTTTCTAAAATGAAATAAATTACGCACACTTCCATTCTTTTACGAAATTTCGGAAGAAAATCGGTAAAGAAATGAAAATAATGCTGCTATGTGAAGAATTTCTTGCAGACTTTTTTCAGAATTTTCTTTATTTTTCGTACAGAAATTTCTTTACGAGTTCGTGTCAACCACTTCATATAATTTTCTTTGAAGATTCGGAAAACAATCGTTACAGAAATCAGATACTCCTAAAGATTTCGTTAAGATTTCGGGAACTTTGGTTTGCAGGGTTATTTAATTTTAGAAAATTCGGCAAAAAATCGAATTAAATCTTAACGAATTCTTTAAAATTTCTTTACAATACAGATTACTCTGAAAAAATGGTTTGCAGGGTATACATACTCTCGCATTTGTGTTCGTACGCTCTACTGTAATTTACAATTGTTTTTATTTTTTGAGTTTCACCTATTAAGATTAAAGATAATAATTATGCCGAATTTCCACTAGGCATTAAAATTACAAAAAATGTATGCCATTCAAAAAATGCCATGTGGAAATGAACTTAATGATATTTTTTTTTTTAATGTAATGACACGATAATTTTTTAATGCCCGACTTTGTCATTTGTCATTTTTGCCATTTAATGCCTAGTGAAAATCAAGCATTAGCATTTGAGTTTAATTTTTTCGCTCAAAGGAAATTATTTGCTGTGTTTCCTTGGGCAAAGATCGGGATCCGGATAAAAAATTTGCACGCAAACGCAAGAACAACGATATGATCCTGATAGAGATCTGGTTCAATTTATAATCCGCTGTGTTTGTTCTTTTCACTGATAAATTGCGGCACGGTTTGGTAGCACTGACAAATGAATGTATACGCAAACAGATATTCTGCCATTTGTTTCTCTTAACTTGATTCAAATAAATCGCCTCTATGTTAAGCGCCTATACATCTACGCTAAACAAGTAATTTTGATTTTATTGACAACTATTCATAAGCGCAAATAAAGGGCTGTATGAATAAAAACTAAGCGACTAATTAAAAATTAAAACGTTACTGCAAATCTACCGGTCAAGCCCTTTAACGTGATACCTCGTTTTTTAAAATCCAACGAAAGGTGCAGATCTGATAAGACAAAAAGTTTTCGCGTATTAAGTATGTATTTATATGTACATACATACAGATTACTAAAAGAGAAACAGATCCACATTAACTCCAATTAACATATGCACATACATGTGTATGTTGCGATTAGGTTATAAATCTCTCTCCGGAGCTGCGCCACTTGTTTTTCAAAAGCCGAAATACTTAAATACACATACTTTTTGTCTCCTTCTCGTGTTTGCAAATTTATGTAGTGATTTTGTATGGGAAATCATTTATGCCAATATATTTGAATCAAATAAACATACTTATAAGATATCAACCAATACTGCCTATATACTAAACGAAAGGGAAAAACTTGAATTTTTTGATAAAGAAAACCAAAACAAAATCATTCGAGCGGTTTTCGAGCATTTTGGTAATAAGAATAAAATTATACAGGCATGTTCTGCAAATCGTACGTTTTCAATTCGGTGCGATTACCAATTTGAATTCAAAGCAAATTGGATTGAAATTCACTCGGAAGTGAATTTCATAACCTGCCTGATATGGGATCACTTCTACAATGCTTTATTGTATGCCCCAAGCGCTCGCAGATCTTTCAGCGCTTTGGATTAGGGAAATATTCCCTTACATACGCTTTATGGCATGAAATATTTATGGTTTCCGGTAGGCGGAACAGATCGAAGGTCAGTAGGATAATCCCACTTGGAACGACTTTATCTTCTATCTTTTTTGTGAATTTATAGACACTGATGACTCCCTCAGCTGCTAGCTCCGTGGTAATTTCTTCTTCAGGAAGGGACTTAAGATAGGGTGCAAATACGGTGCCTTTTACCGAGTTTAAATTTTCATGGAGTTTACACTTTATGTCACGTATGCCTGGATGCTGTTTACAGGCAATGAATTTGTCAGCCGTTTTTTATCCTTAGTTAAGAGGAGTAAACTGCCATCTCTTAATTCCGATTTGATTTCGATGTCCTTACTAATTACTTGTAACGATCTATGGACGGCAAAACAGGAGTAATGTGACAGCGGTTTTTGTTCATTTGTGGCTGACACCACGAATTAAGGATTAGGGAAAGAGATATTAGGGGTTGTAAGTTCCGGGTGGTCGTTGATTGTATATAATATGCGTTTCTTTTTGGCTTTGGGACTGATATTAAAAGCCCCGGCGCATTTTTATTAATTACTGCAGTGTATACCTATCTGAACCATATGTGCGTTAATAGATAGAGAAAATGAAAAAGACTAGAGAGTTTTTGTCAGAATTTACCGATGCCAAGAAAGAGGAGCTATAGGTAGGAAAGAACGTAGCGAAAAAGTAGCGTACACGGCGAATGATAGTCTATTACTGTGAAAACAATAATAATTATCTTTGAATAAAAAATAAATAAAATTCAATAAAATCCTGATTACCGTCCCTGGTTTAAACAGATATTAAACACTGCAAATGGTTTCTTAAAATAAAGACCGCATCCAGACTTAAGCGGTTATTGCAAAGGATGATCCCATTATGGGAGAAGTAGTTCTTCGCTATTCTGTAAGTTTTAATAGATTACGATAGCCGTGGCGACAAATTTTGACTGTGCCATTGGAAAGCTGGGCTCCTCCACTTTTCAAATATACCCATTTTTAGGTGCGGGGGCTTTCTAGTTTTAAGGATATTTAGTGTTAAAGTTAATTTTTTGGATTTTTTTTTCAATATTAACATCTTATGAACTACATAACCGATTACAAAAAATTATGATGTTAAAATAAAGAGAATTATTTAATCTTTCAGTTCGTGTACCTAATTTATATTATTTTTTTTAATTTTAAAGCCATGATTACTAAAGAAACAAAAAAAAAAATCTTAAGTTTTTTATAAAATAGTTATTTTGTTTTAAATTACGTGATTACAGAAGGCTAAAGAAATGTATATTATTTAAAAAGTTATTGTTATGGCATTTAATTTGGTATATAAGGTTCCATAAAAAACTGAACCTTAGCGCAAAAATTATTTGTTTATAAAACTAACAAATTTTTGTATAAAACATTTGTAAAAATCTTGACTGAACCAAAAAATAACAAATTGAAGCTTTGCCTGTTCCTTTAAGGGCTGTTTCCAGCTCTCAAGAAAAACGAAAAATTCATATAAAATGACGCACAAGAAATGGAAAAGCAATTAGATATATAGAGTGTTTTCATTGAACGCAAGAGGTGTCAGAAATGATTAATTAATTTCTCAGAAACTATCAGGGTTATCGAAAAGTGATGTATATACGGTGTATGTAGAATTCCGTATCTCGTATTACAATTATTCAATTGGTTCGTTATACGTGATAACGTGAAACCAGTATTTTTTTTTTAACTGAATAACGGTAAATTGCAAATATCTCGAAAAGTTATCCATAGAAAAAAAAAAAATCTCGATTTTCGGAATCACCGAGCAATTCTACATAGGAATTGGATAGTGGCATCTGTAGAACATTTTTGCTGTAAACCAATGATCTTAAAACCTATTATACTTTTTTTTTGACCTCATATGCAGATTCTGTGAGTTGTTTTACATAGCAAATGACTATAAAATTTACGATTTTCAACTATTTTGTTAAAAAAATTTTTCCCTGAAGTGGAATGATTAATTAATTTCTATGGAGAATTTTATTTTCTTTAATTTGCTTTATATCGTATTACGATTATTCAATTCCACCACTCTTTTTTTTTAAAGATGAATAACGGTAAATTGCAAATATCTCGAAAACGTATACAGAAAAAAATTAGCTCGATTTTTGGGATCAGCGAGCGAGAACAAAATTCAAAATGGAAATTTGTGATCCAGTGGAATTTACGAAATTATCATTTTTTTTTTCAAATTGAGAAAACAGCATTTTCAGTTTTTCCAAAAATATCCGGTTCTCATTATCACACCACAAAAAGCTCTCCACCAGATTAAAGGTCTTCGAAATCCCCATGAACTTGCTATACAATGTTTTGCAATCAAATTATCAGTTTAAGAGTTATCTGCAAATTTATGGGTGAAATCGGACACAATTTTAAGTCGCATCGATATTCTACTGTGAATTACACCTAAAAGCTGCGCACTTTTTGTTGTTTTTTTTATTCTATATTAAAGCTTATTTAATTTCAAAGTATATAGATCCAAATCTTTTTGAACCCCAAAAACCTACCCCGTGTGTGCGCTAATTTGTATTACATACTATTTAATTTTTAAATATATTGAATAGAATTAAAAAAAATTCTGAATCGGACCTTTGACCCGTAGTTTTTGCTTCCCATCAAAAAAAAAGTAAACCGTTATACTTGCTTCAAAACTGCACTGGTCAAAATTTGTCGCCTCGGTTATCGCAATCGTGCCTTATTCTAATAAACTTATTTAATTAACCCTTGCCTAATTTTCTTACAGTCTTTATACGTTCGACACCCGTCAGCTGCGCAACCCACTGAAAATTCACTTTGATCATGTTTCTGCGGTAACAGATGTTGACTACTCCCCTACTGGCAAAGAGTTCGTTTCGGGAAGCTATGACAAAACAATACGTATATACAATGTGCACCACAGTCATTCGCGCGAGATTTATCATACCAAACGTATGCAACATGTTGTATGCGTTGGTTGGTCTCTAGACAATCGTTATATTTTCTCCGGGTCGGATGAAATGAACATTAGAATGTGGAAATCGAATGCATCGGAAAAACTGGGCGTAATAAGACCACGTGAGCGTGTTGCTTTCAATTATCAGGAGAAATTAAAGGAAAAGTTTGCGGCTCATCCTCAAATAAAGCGTATTGCACGGCATCGTCAAGTGCCGAAACACGTGTTGAATGCTCAACGCAAAATGCGCGCTATTAAGAACAAAGAGAAGGTGAAGGAAGCGAACGTTCGCAAACACTCAAAACCGGGAAAAGTGCCCTTCGTATCAGAAAAGAATAAGCATGTATTGCGAGAAGAAGAATAAACGTCGATATTTGTATTGTGCTATTTGTTTTCCATGGATAATGGCACATACAAAGATTTAAATTGTAACTCACTTTATAAACTCTGTTTTCGTAATACAAAGAAATAAAAATAATCTGTTATTTAAATATAGCATTAAACATTCATAAATACACACATATGTATATACCATGATTCAGTTATAAAAGGTTTTGTAAGTAGGGTTTTATAAAAATTTGATACTCGTCGAAATATATATTTTTTTGTTTGGAACACGCTATGCGATTTCCTTAATTCTTTTTTTAAATGAAAGGTGGTACCGCAGAGGTTGTCTCATACTAATTTGTATTTGAGCCGATAATTGGATCATGAAGAAATTAACGGTATTCGAAAATGTTTATATGCGAATCGAAGTCGGTTTTGTTTTTAGTTTAAAAATTACTTGTTTCTGTAACGGTACATATTCAAAGCCTGGGATTTTGTGGGACGTTGTAACTAGTATTTCGACTGCTGAGTGAAAGATCGACCTATCTCGGCAGCCTATCGAAAACGCCCTATCTCAAAAAGTTTTCAAAAACGTCCTATTTCAGAACTTGGTTGAAGAACACCCTATTTAAGAATTCATTTCAAAAACGCCCTTTCTCAGCTGCCGATTCGAAAACGCCCTATATCAGCACATTTTCAATACATTTTGAAGTGAGATAGGGCGTTTTTGAATCGTATTCTGAAACAGGGCGTTCTTCAACCAAATTCTGAGATAGAGTGTTTTTTAATAAAATTCTGAAATAGGTCGTTTTCGAACAAGCTGCCGAGATAGGTCGATCTTCCACTCAGCAGTCGATTTGTAACCTACTTGCAACAAAATAATTGTTTTCGGTAATTTGTCGCTTACGATAAAATCGTACACAGGGGTCGATGTGTACATATGAAGTTCTCCAAGTGAAATTTTAACCTTAATGTTAAAGTCGTGAAGTAAAACCAGTAATTTTTAAGCAAAAATCAAAACCGACTTCAATTCTCATATAAAAGGTTAATAGTACCGTTAATTTCTTTATGACCACATGCTCGGATCTAAACCAAATTAGTATAGGACCACCCTTGAGGCAACGCCTTTCCGATAGAATAACCGATATCGGTTGACGTGGTCCAAAGTTATGCGGCAACATAAATAAATAAAAATATATATATATATATATATATTCCGACGAATTGATAACCTTCTCCTTTTTTGAAGTCGGTTAATAAAGTACGGTTGCAGTTTGTACCAAAATAATTAAAGAAATTAAACAAAAAATCGATGTGCCAACTCTGAAATAAAATAAGTAAGTTCTGAAATGCTCCAGGTTTTGGCCACTATTGGTAACTCCAGTGTGCAACTCTCAGATTGGACTATTACAAATTGGAATAAACTGACGAATAATTAATAATTATTAAATTGGAGGAATAAGCTGGCCCACTGGGTCCCGAAAATAGACCCATACGAACATGCCGTTGCCTTAATATAGAAATTTCCTAACTCACATAGTTGCTGAAATGCAAAAATGCCGTAACAGACTGAATTTTTTTATTGCTTTAAATCAGTGGTCTCTGAGCACATGTGTGTTTCACACGTATACGATGAGCGGTAGCTGAGCGGTGCATATAACGCACACAGTCTCACTATTGAATCGTTTGAATGTGTTAGAATGCCGACCACTGCTTTAAATGATGTGGGGACTTCGATGAAATGCATCATAATCAATTAAAGAGAGAATTTTGGATTTTTACTTCAAGAGCGAAATACACAACACAAGCGGCTTGTCAAACATACTTCAAACCTACTTTTCGCATTTCGACATACACCATGAAAACGTGACTCGTTGAACCAAAGAATTTTTGTTGTCTTCTGCTCCACAATGTTAAAAATTATGGTTTCCTTAGATTTTTCCCTGTTAGGTCCTCACTCGGTGAAAATTCCGTTGCAAATGAGGCGAATTAATCAATCACAGCGCAAGAGGTTTGACCAAACGTGAACATGGCGGCCAGAAAATCAAAAAACTGATGGGCGAAACACAACGCAAGCCGCTTGACAAACCTAGCGAAATATCCCTTTGCTTTAAGCCATTTGTGTCGGGTATGGGGGTGTTTGAAGGTTTGACAAGCTGTTTGAGAGAAATTGGAAGGAAACCATATTTTTAACATTGTGGACCGGGAGACAACTTATTTTAAGAGCGAAATACACCACACAAGCGGTTTGACAAACCAAGCGAAATGGTTAAAGCCATTTGTGCTGTGTATGGGGGTGTTTGAAGGTTTGACAAGCCGCTTGAGGGAAATTTGAGCAAAAAATCAAAATTTTTTGATTTTCTGGCCGCCATGTTGATGTTTGATCAATCCGCTTGCGTTGTGTATAGCAAAATCGCCTAATTCGCAACGAAATTTTCACCGAGTAAGGACGTAAGAGAGGAAAATGAAAGAAAACCATAATATTTAGCATTGCGAACTGGATGAAAACTAAAATTCTTTGCTTGAACGAGTCATGTTTGCATGGTGTATGGCGAAATGGGAAAAGTAGGTTTGAATTATTTTTGACAAGCCGCTTGTGTTGTGTGTTTCGCTCTTTAGTTACGGTTTTTTGTATTTCAGCGACGATGTGAGATAGGGCCTTTCTATATTAAGGTAACGATATCTGTGGACTTTTGACAAAACAACCTCTGTGCTTTCAGTAGGTTAGAATTTGGAGTAAGTTGTAAGAAACTTCCATTTGAAAATTTTACATTTTTATTTAACTTTCATTAAGATACCATCTTGAACTACTCCTATTAATGACTAAACATAAAAATATCACTCGAGAACTCAATAAATTACTGCTTTGAAGAGAAAATGACCTTACTCGATAGAAGTTGTTTTGTCAAAAGTCCATAGATACATATGTACATACATATGTATCTATAGATTATAATCATATGTACATGTGTATTATACCCATAGCGCTCTCCATCAAGTAAACAAAAACGACTGTGTGGAAGTTTCGTCGTTGGTTTTCGTTTCGAGTTTTAGTCGTGTGCACCGATGAAATTTAGTAGAATAAAAAATAGTTGCAGCCGTGTTGAATAGCTTAGAAGCTGGCACACATTTCAGTAGAGTTGACGTACTTTCGTTGTGAGTGCATTCAACGCGTTTGTTTGTTCTTTAATTTATTTCGCACGAAGAAATCTTTTTGCAATTCTATTCACAACTAATTTTTAAAACAGTACCAGACCCAAACAGACATTTACTTTGAATCAATTATAGCTAAACTGAGTGGGCGATTGCTATTTGATTCACATTGAACTTTCACATTAAAAAAATACTAGCATAATACAAAATTGAAGGTGTAATCAAATTAAGGACAGTGGCAATTGAAATAAAAAATCAAAACGAAATTGCAAAACTATCTCAGAAATCGAACTGCAACAAGGGACTGGTCAATAAAAAACAAACAAAACAAATGCACAAGCTTGCTGTCGTAGTGTATGTGTAAATTGAATTGTCAGTCAAATATATTAGATAACGGGGCAGTGCGTGCCGGCGGCGGAAGTGCTCTTGAACTTGATGTTTGGATAGTAAATACATACATACAAAATACCCGTTGGTTTTGGATAAAGAGAGCTGTTGTGGAAGTCGTAAGAAAATTAGGTAAAGCAGAACGAAGAGAATTGAATGCAGAAGCATATCAAGGTGCAATCAAAGTAAAAACATTTCATTGTCAAGGATATTCGCACAGCATCCGAGGAAATTTTTGAAACTGAGACTTCAACAACAAAAATATGGAAGCACTTGGAGATTTATTGGCGCCATATAGCGAGCATATTGCTAAAGTCGCTGGAGCGGTAACTACCTTACAGATTCTATCTGGTTTCTTTTTGCTTAATGATATCCGGAAAAAGAAGTCTAGTGATGAATATCCGCCGGAACCATTCATCGTTGGTCTTGTGCTGTAAGTAATTGGTGAAAACGGAAATTAGTACACTATTAAATTCGATTCAGTAAGGGTTGCAAGTTCCTGGTATAACCCAGAAGATAATTTAGAGAGTCCTTCTAAAGAGAAGGTATTTCGAGAAGGCAAAGCGGCGAGCGGCTGAGCGGCTTAAAATTAAACATATGAAATGCTATTGAAGTGGCCACGCACTGAGCGGCATTTTTTTGTATGGCGCCGCTCAGCCGTTCAGCCGCTCTCCGCTCGTTACGTGGCCTCGACCTAATCAAGAAGCGCTGAAAAAAGCATGACTTCTAGATGGGGTTTTGCTATTTATAATTTACGCGAATGTATAAGTTTATGTTATTTTGGCATTACAAATGAATAGAAATATGCATTTTAAGATGCAATACAGACTGACTTCCAAAACGTACCAATACAATGTTTGGATACTGTTCTACTGCGGTATTTAAACTGTTTTTATATGCCGAGTTACGAAACATTAGGAGTGTTCGCTATGCAAAAAATTTGTACAAGTTGGTACCAATTTTGACATTTCATTTGGAGGGGAAGTTGCAAATTTATACTGGGAAAATTTTTGCCAGTAAAATTTTGACGTTCGTATTCACCACGAGAAGTGTCAAATTTTTACTTTAAACCGTCAAAATTTTCTATTTTCTATCAATTGGCACAGGGCCTTAGAGCGTAATAATAAGTTACTCTCTCACAAGTGTCAAAAATGTGTCAACACGTGCCAAAAGTCCCAGAGCGTGAGGAACGCAAAAAACCACATTTCAAGGCCGGAATCAGCAAATAAGCTCTAAACAATGATTTTATGTGTATTTACCTTATAGGCCAAAATACAAGAGCGCAGTGGCAGTGACAGTTTTTAAAATCAGCTGTTACTGCTGATATTGGCAGTCACTGCCGCAGCAATTACAATACGGCGTTATCAGTGACAGCTTTTTTTGACATCACCTTTTGTTTGTTTACATTTTTGTTGTTGTCTTTTAGGCTTCAGTGACATGAACAGAAGTTGGCTGCATTTTATTTATGTCAAATTCAGCATGCGAAGTTTGCTGCGATGAAGGCAGTGGCAGTGAATTTAGAATTTGGCCTAAACTGAGCAGTACTGCCAGCTGCCACTGCTGTATTGTGAGTCGCTTCATTGGACACCCCACTTTCTAAAAAACAGCTGATTTCGAAAAACTGCCACTGCCACTGCCACTGCATTATTGTATTTTGGGCTTATATGGCTAATAAAATTAGCAAATAAGTACATTTTCTGAAACTTTTGTGGCATTTTCCATTTCCACAACAGCTGTTATGGAAATTTGACTATTTGCACATTTGTGCCCGGAAAAAAATCTGAGATGTTTCGCGCACGAAGAAGAATGAATTTACGATCCAAAAGTGGAACGTATTCGCTCTCTATTACCCATTTTTATAGCATGAGCAATACCGTTGTTTGTACATAAATACATATGGAAGAATATGTCGTCTATACATGCTTATCTATGTATATACATATATACATACTTACAAATACGTCTATTCCAGGCGCTATACTGTTTTATATCTTCCTCGTTGTGATAATGATGGAACGTGATAATTCTAGAATTAATTTTAAAAGTCATAATGACACGCACTTTTCTTGCTTAGATAAGCTCTGAAGTGGTACAATGTACACCAGGGGTTCCTAAACATTTAAGATGATGGAACCCTACTAAACACCACATCAAATTACTAAAAATCAAATGCAGTGCAATTTATATATGAATAAACACTTTTACTAGAAATAGTATACATTCTTTGAATTTTAATGTAAAGAATGAAATTGTTTCACTGTTATTAATTATTGTAAAAAATAGTATGTGCTGTATGCGCATTTTTGGGGTAGCATCTAATTTTGACCTGAATTTGTTTTCTGTATAAGTGTAAGCTGAAAACTCTGTGACAGAGGAAGCAAAGTTAAGATGGCCTTTTTACCGACTCCATGATATTTACTCTTCACATTAACCCAAAACTCTTTCAGAGACACAAATGCAAATGTGTGTTTCACTGTCGAAGTACTCGGAAGATCTATAAATGCTTCGTAAATGGGTTTTGTACCAAACCGATATTACTACTACCATCCGAAAAATAATGTGACGAAGATTTCAGGTGATTTACCAAGTGCCCAGTTATGACATTTCACATTTCATTTGGCAATTCATCGCGGTTCTTGTAGAAAGTTGTATATAACTAGGGCAAAACAAAATATGCTTCTAAAAACTTATTTTAAGCGCTTAAAATATAACAATTTCCTAGATATATTCTCCACAAAATGCTTTCAAAATCATTAAAAGACATAAGATATGCTTTTAAATTTCGTTTATGTACGTAAAAGCATGACAGACGGCAACATTGATCCGGATTAATGCCGCAATTACTCTGATCAAAATTGTGCCTTGACAGACGGCAGTAATGCGGATTAACGAGCCGCGAGTTCGTAGGTTCGAATCGCACGGCCCGTAGAATATTCATTTAATTTTTTGTTATTGATTCAATTATAACTTCTATATTTTTTATTTTAAAGTTGTTCTGCAAACTAGCATAGACATTCATCCTGTCGTCGGTTATGCAGTCACCAAAATAAGTTCTTATTCATTTTAAATTGGATTCCTATTTGAATTAGAATGGTGACTGCATTACCGATGAAAAGGTATATGTCCATGCTAATTTTGCATTTTCCCTGTATTCTACGCTCTCCGTGTTTTGGTCAGTGTTGTCATCGAAAATTCCCTTAATCCGAGTTAAGTTTGGGAATTAACTCTAGGACTTAATCCGGATCAACTGGAGTTAATTCCCGAGATAATTCGGAATTAACGGTTGAGCTAGAACTAGTACTGTCTGCAAAAGGTCTAGTTCTACGCTAGTTCTGGGCTAGTCAGATTTTCTGCAGGGCGTTTTCGGACGGTAATATCTGTTACTACCAATATAGGAGTATTACATATGTATATTAGACTGCATCACCAAAAGAAGTTGCGGTTTTCCGCCGGGATTACAAAATTTATTATATTTTAAGACGATTTTTTCTAAAAAAAATCTTTAAGAAACTATTTTTATTCATAAGAAACTCCATTTTTGGAGGTATTTTCAAATCGGTCCAGCTCACTTAAATCTTAATATTTTTCCGAAATATTTTGGTGGACGTCTTAAAATATAATAGATTTTATAATTCCAATGGAAAAATAGTACCGATTTTATTTTGTATGGGGGGCGATGCAGTCTAATGTATATGCTAAAAATATATAAATAAACATAAGTTCCCAACAATATAATTTTGAATTTTGACCCTATTATTTGACCGTAAGGGTGCGTTTATACATACATATGCATGCAAATGTACCCACATTTAAAAAGAAAAATCGTAAAAATTTGCTCAAAAACTTATCTAGTGTTCCGCTTAAATATTGCTTGCATAACTACTCAAAAATAAGTGACTTTCCACTTGATAGCCGTAATCTTCAAAGGCACCAGCGATAAACGTTATTTGCAACACATTTACATTATGTACATACATACATGATAAGAAAAATTCAACATTAAATACGTATGAACTACATACTGGTATATGGCATGCTGACACCTAATAGATATTTATTAAAATGCATTCCTTGTCAAATTTATATAATTACGTACTTAACATTATCAAAGCACTTCGAGCAATACTGCTTACATATGTACATATATATACATATGTAAGTACAATTTAACGCACCTGTAAATTCTGTAGTCTGCGTCAGCAACCAATCACAAACCTTGGCGTGGTTGTATGACCGCGTAAAACTGGTTACTTAGGCGTTGAGCAACACTCCACCGACCATGTCATAAAAATCGAGATATGTACATGTAGAACATTTTGCAGTATCGCCGATATCAGGCTTTGGTGGTTCATTAATACAATTTGGAATTTTATTTGTAGTCATATTCCTGTTATATGGATGATAAATTACTAACGAAACAAATCATATATACGTTTCATATGTGTTTGATTTTGTAATTGTTGTTTTCCATTCTCTGCATAGATATCAAGGATATCTGGTTTGCCGAAACAGGAACACGCAATATGGTAATTGGGACACCTATTTTCAATTTCAGTGATCCCTGAAAGATCAGTCGAGTTCAAAAATTCCGTTGGATAATGGCACCCTGAAATTGTGCATATGGAAACTGTGCATACGAAATAATGCATATGAAAAAAACCGAAATAATGCATACGAAAAAACCGAAATAATGCATATATGCACAGTTTCGGTTGAAAACCGAAATAATGCATATGAAAAAACCGAAATAATGCATATATGCACAGTTTCGGTTGAAAACCGCAATAGTGCATATTAGAAAAACCGAAATTATGCATATGCACTCTTTCGTTTGAAAACCGAAATAATGCATATGAAAAAAACCGAAATAATGCATATATGCACAGTTTCGGTTGAAAACCGAAATAATGCATATGAAAAACCCGAAATAATGCATACATGCACACTTTCGTTTGAAAACCGAAATAATGCATATGAGAAAAACGAAGTAATGCATACATGCACAGTTTCGGTTCAAAACCGAAATAATGCATATGACAAAAACCGAATTAATGCATACATGCACAGTTTCGACTCAAAACCGAAGTAATGCATATGACAAAAACCGAAATAGTGCATACATGAAAACGAACTTCTTTCTGAGTAGGCGGCCTTCGGCCGCGCTTAGGGATTATAACCCTTACTAAGTAGTATTCTCCTTTCTGTGTTGCCGGAAAAGGGGGCCGGAAGTATTTTTGCGCAGAACTTCTTTCTGCGTAGGCGGCCTTCG